AAAACACGCTAAACAAGCGAGTAACTTACATATTAAGCTCAACTGACTATAGAAATGGGGACTATAAAGGCAAGCATCGTGTCGAGCAAATGACGAAAATTTAAACGAAAGACCATGAATTTTGGAGAGAATTAAACTGTAATAAAACTAATACTCTTATCTGCGTAGGATTAACACGAATTCTGAGAGATCGAACAAGAATTCAGTCCATATTTGTCATAAAAACCGTGACAAAACTCACAAACCCTTTAAAGTCCGCCATTTGCAATCGCACGGAACGATTTCCGCACATGCGCAGACAAAATGCACCTATGTTGGTGTTGTGTACTCAGGTGAATATGATGTTTGTGATGCTACTCTGAGTGTGTATCCACACCGGGAATGCCTAGCCACAGTGGGAATCGAACCTACGACCTTTGGAATACTAGTCCAATGCTCTGCCAACTGAGCTATACGCGGTCAGGTCGGTTCGAGCTCAGTTGGCAGCGCATTGGGCTAGTATTCCGAAGGTCGTAGGTTCGATTCCGCCACTCGATAAACTATTTCTATTCTGTCATCAATGTGGAAACATTATTACGAATAAAACAGAGCATTGTGAAGGAAGTATGGTGACAATCAAAACCATATACCTATGTAGACATTCAATGCAAATACATGGCAATCACAGCCTTTGACAAATGGAGCAGCGGCAGGTAACTTGTTAATTCTTGCAGCCATCCTGTTTAGTGGTAATATTTACCAACATATACAGTATACGACTTTGCAAAATTTCTTAACATGCAGATTATGAGCTCCTCTAGTTACTGCAAAATCCAAAAAAATTATTTACTCCCAGTGGTTGATAGTGGATAGAAATCAAGTCAACGTAAATTATTAAAGAATTAAAATTAGGCTAAAAATGTTGATATATGTGGTGATGGTCGGTATGACAGCCCTGGTCACTCAGCAAAATACGGCACGTACATTATTATGGGCGAAAGTACCAAGAAAGTTATTGAATTTAGTGTTTTTCAAGTGACTGAAGCCACTTCATCCAACGCAATGGGTTATGAAGGATGCAAAATAACATTAAATTCTCATATTAAGAAGAAAGTTCCCATTCTGATCAATGCCTTACCACTGATAGGCATACCACAATTACAGCCAAGATGAAGAGTGTCTACCCCAACATCAAACACCAATATGATGTCTGGCATTTGTCAAAATGGGTAACAAAGAAATTATTCAAAAATGGGGGGAAAAGTCATTCGAAGAGCTGAAGCCATGGATCCAGGCAATATCCAATCATTTATGGTAGTGTGCTGCAACCTGCGGTGGGGATCCCAACATGCTCATGGAGAAGTGGGTACCTCTTCTCTACCATATTGTTGACAAGCATCGATGGAGTGGTTGTAACTATGTAAGAAGTGTGGCCATCCTACGATGTCAAGAAGAGAAAGGAAATGATTAAATGGTTAAAAGCTGGTTCTCCTTCTCATGTGGCACTAGAAGAAGTTGTTACTAACAAGAAGTAGTTGAATGAATTAGAAAAGCTAACCGAGTTCCACCATACTGGCGAATTAGAGCAATACCATTCACCTTTGCTAAAGTATGCTCCAAAACGTGAACATTTTAGTTACAATGGAATGGTGACTCACACACAACTTGCCATGCTGGATCACAACTCAAATGTGCATAGGAACCAAGCAGTAATACAAAAGGGAGAAAAGAAAGGGGAAAAACGCTTCAATGTAATAGATAGATAGATTTTATTTTGACACGCTATCTACGTCAATTAAAAATATTGATTTCCACGAAGGGCGTGTGTTCAAAAGTTATCATGTATAAGTGTTGTTATGACTCTTATGGAATCAAATAAAAGAAAATAGAAATAATCTAACTGTTCCAATTGACAAAATTGACAATATAGACAACTAACAAAACATATAGATAACTATTTACTATAAAGGATTTATATATGTATGTATAAATATATTATTTAGTAACATGAGCAGCAATTTTTCTTTCAAATAGAGACTGGAACCTAATTCCTCTGATTTCTTTAGGCACTGAGTTCCATATTTTGTCCCATTAAACATAAACCCTTTTTCATGCTATTTGTGCGGGGCCGTGGCAAAACGAGTGTTGTTTCATTGTCACGGAGATATTCTCATTCTTGTAGGTAAAAAGGTCTGTTAGGCTTTTTGACCCAGACATATTCAAAATTTTGAACATTAATTTTGCTTTAGCTTTAGTTCTTTGTACTTTTAGTGTTTCCCATCCTAACGAATTTAATGCAATTTGGGCATTAACTTCATTGCCCATGTCCATAATAATTCGAGCGCATCTATTTTGAAGCTTTTGTAATCGTTGTGATTGAGTTTCACCAAAAATGTCCCACACTTCGCAACAATAAGTAAAGTATGGTTGTACAATTGCGTTAAATATAGAAACAAGTGTATCACGGTCAACAAATTCTTGATATAGATAGACCTAGAACGTGGAAAACTATGTGTAGCAAGTGTCGCGTTCGTTGCAAACAAACTGTTGTTCGTAAATATGTAGGAATGTATAGTCATAGTTCATGGTATATTGTGATTGTAATTTTATGTATTGTTATATGTTTAGTGTAATTTTTGTAAATTTTTTGGTGGGACTTAATAAGGAACAAATAGTTCTGTTGTCCTTTCCATCAATCGTGCGATTGTTAAGTTAATAAAACAAATAAAAAAAGAAAGAAAAGAAAAGAATACTAACGTTGGGCAAGTATTGATGTATGATTCAATGAGACGATGTTTATTCAAATATAACTCTGCTGCGGGCAAGCGCTTTTACTCTTCTGGAGGACAAAGGAACACGTTGGCTCAAGTATCGATGTGTGATTCAGTGAGACGCAGTCTATTCAAGTATAACTCAGACTGTCTCTACCGTGATCAAAGGAATACGTTGGCTCAACCGATGAAGTTAAATGAAACCGCCGCTGGGGGAATTATAACAAGATCGAGAGGCTAAACACGAATTCAACAAGCGTCATTTGATATCATTCGTATATCAATGTATTTATGTATGCACATGCATTTGGTGCGTAAGTATGCGGTTAATTCACACGTTTGCTTCGTATTTCGCTTTTCAAAACAACCAGAATGCTTTAACTTCATCTACTTTATTACAGAATTCGGGTATAGTAATTGTCGAACGCCAAATGTATGGACTATTCACGCTAAATCGATCTGCATTTCAATGTCAAGTTTATTACCATCTTGAGTTTTTAACCGGCCAGATTGGGCCTCTGATTCGGGGATTGGGTTTCAATAAAGCGTCTCATTAAACTGTATTCAATCATTCAAAAGTAGATTATAAAAACTTCCTTTCTAGCTATATCAGGGCACTCTTTAATTAATAAAACAAACACTAATTTGGCCCGTATACATTATCTATACCTTAGTGGAGAAAACATAGGAAATCAAGTTCATGTGTGAGAGAAATTTAGGATCTACTTTATCTACATTTGCGATAAATCGGCAAGTTGGATGTCATGAAAGATTGGTACGTACAGTGTATGGTATGTCGCTACTCATGAAAATTCATTAATGTCTTGTCACTATACTGCATGATCTTTTTAGTCTACCAAATACATATTCTTACAATTTCTGTTACTCTCATGTATGCATGATTGCATGTTCAATCACCACACCGTGGTTATAAACACCTAAATTGCATTTTGATCCTGCTATTTTTAAATATTGAACAAGCTATTCTTCTGAGATTATTAAAGTCACATAATTCGAGACCCGAATTCATGACAGTGGAAATCAAAGTCTCCAAAACAGACCCATTCCGTTTGGGTCAAACAATCACAGTTGGCGCGTCGAACTCGCCCCTATGTCCTGTTTTGGCAATAAAGAAGTACCTCTTCGTTAGAAAAACAACGGGTGGTCCACTCTTTGTTCATGTTTCTGGAAAACCTCTTACCAAACAAACTTTAACGGCTGAGACTCGGATTTTATTAAACCAAGCAGGTTTGAATGCGTCACACTATGCTGGTCATAGCTACCGAATTGGGGCCGCTACAACTGCAGCTTCAGCTAATTTGCCTGCATGGCTCATTAAAACTCTAGGACGGTGGTCTTCCGATTGCTATGAACGATACATTCGTATTCCATCTTTTACCCTGTCAAAGGTATCTGCCACCATGACTGCATCATTTAATTTAAAAAAAAAAAAAGGGGGGGGGAAGGGCGTTTTCGTCTATGGGGAACACTCTATCGCGTGTTTTTGGGGAAGAAGTATTCCAATATGTCAACTTCATTTCCCATAGACTCTAGTAACGTCACATATAAATATATATTTCAAATAATAGGGACTGTTTAAGCGATTCTGTGGACCTTAGACAGCTTAGGGACTGCCCAAGCGGGCAGGTTAGGGACTGTCCAAGTGTGCTCTTGGTCAGATACGTCAGGGGGTCGCTACTCCTGACTAGCATTATCAGTTCAGTACAGTATTAGGTATGTGACGATGAGGAGGGATGTCGTTTGACATAAACACAGAGTACTTCCCCCCAAAACACCCCTTCTCCCACAAAACCAAAACGTGTGTTTTTTATTGTGTTAATTATAGTTTATATTCAATGATTCAATCTTTGGATCATTAAAGCCAATTTAAAATGTTTAAATTCAGTTAATGAGACAACATGTTGAAAGCAAGTGTTTTGCAAGCTTATCCTCATTGACAAATGCATGACAAAGGTGCAAGTCGACATTTCCGTGTATTGTTGGTGGGTCAAAGGTTATTTTCTTGAAGCAGCACTGTGTTCACGTGAATATTAATGAAAGAAACGCTTTTAGCCAATGAAAAGCTTTTACATATCCCAACTAAAACCAACAGCCAATCACAAAGCAAGTAGGAGCATAAGTTATGCATCACGCGCAATTTTTTGGCATTATTTGCTCAAAGCTTTTGAAGGATTTACCTTCGAGCTCCTTGTTACAAAGTTTAAATCCCACCCACCCACCCCATCTTACTTGCACTTTGGTTACTGCATTTGCTTCCAACACCTTGTCTACATAGTAGTTGGTAAAAGGATCTCATTATAATTAGCATATTATAAGGAAACAATGGCTTCCTGCTGTAAAGCTTTCCAAAATGAAAAACTTTCCAAAGTGAAAGACTATCAGAGGTGTAAAAGTGCCTATGGACACAAGTTTTACAATATGGTAAATAATAAAAATTGTTATGGTTCCTTTACTGGTAATAAATAAATAAACATTGGGTTACGGGGAAGAAGTATTCCAATATGTCAACTTCATTTCCCATAGACTCTAGTAACGTCACATATAAATATATATTTCAAATAATAGGGACTGTCTAAGCGGTTCTGTGGACCTTAGACAGGTTAGGAACTGCCCAAGCGGGCAGGTTAGGGACTGTCCAAGTGTGCTCTTGGTCAGATACGTCAGGGGGTCGCTACTCCTGACTAGCATTATCAGTTCAGTACAGTATTAGGTATGTGACGATGAGGAGGGATGTCGTTTGACATAAACACAGAGTACTTCCCCCCAAAACACCCCTTCTCCCACAAAACCAAAACGTGTGTTTTTTATTGTGTTAATTATAGTTTATATTCAATGATTCAATCTTTGGATCATTAATATGTGATTATTCTAATTTTTTAATAAAATATTATTGCTTTTCGGAATGTTGACAGAAACACCCTCCTCAACCCACCTGTAAAGGGTCATTTTTATATTCATTTACACACAAAATCTCCAAAGACTCCAATTAATACCAGACAAAATATATACTGCCTATATATAGGGGCTGTTTATATGGTGCAACTGCAAGCCATCCCCAGGCTACCCAAGCTCGCCCAGTTTTGGCAAGATCCTGCCTTTGTTGTTATTTCTTACTAAAGTTCACCTTGTGTATATATGGGTAAAGAGTGGGCCCAGCTATAGCTAAGCGAGATCCCGCCCCTTTAGCCCGAGATCTTGCTTCGGGAAAAGTGACCTTAAGTCTGTAGCCCCTAACCCCGGGCATCCAGCCTGACCCCCATATAAACATCCTCTTATTACATATCTCAAAAAGTATATGTACAGTCTATTAAATTTTCAGGATTTAATTTTTGGGCATCTACACTTGATACTGCATAACTAATTATATTTATATCCAGTATGTGCTTGTAAACCATATGGACAATTCAGGTAGCAAATCATGAAATATGCCCCATGCCCCTTGTGAATCTGGAGAATCATTCCAATGGCTAGTTCACAATATGTTCATCTCTAGCCTTTGGCAACTAGCTGTTTTTCTTTACTAGCAGATCATGTATACATGGATAAAATAAGAGAAATCTATTTACCTGTTTTACAGATTAATTTAATTGTTTATATAATCATACTTGGAATTCGGATGAATATCTTTATCTTCACACTGTATAACAGCAACTTTTTCTCATTAATTTACAGTAACTTTCTAAATTCAGATATTCTCACATGGGACAAATACTTTAGTATCGTTGTATTGTTTACAAATTAAAATATTAAATTGATTTCATAAACTTCAAGAATTCCTTGGGAATTGTTAAGGAATTCCTTTAAAATTCCGTGATAATACATGTGATTGTCTATAGTAAGGAAATATTAAAGGAATTTCAGAGGAAATTTTAGAATTTAGATAGTTGCAATCATGGGTGAGCACATATTTTGTGAAACTGTTTCAAAATAAAATTGCATTTCAATTAATAAAGAAATGCAAGAATGTGAAAGAAACCAAATTATATACAGTGAAACTTTAAAGTGGGAAAGAGATAGGGTGGTGAAATACGGTTAGTGTTCTAAAATATTGAAGCATATGGTTAATATATGTTTATGCATGGGACTAGCATATTGCACTATCTCGTGAAAAGGGAATATAGCGTTGAATACAAACTATAAAAACCCATTCATATTTAAATTTTACAAGTAGACAAATTTTAAGCCTTCAGATAACTATAATTCTTTATATAGTACCTTGCTATTGTAGGGCTAACCCATAATATAAAGGCATGACTGTTGTGTGCTTTAATTACTCCACAAGAAATAAGGGCAAGGGATATTGGTAAACAAGTATTACCAATCAATCCTATTCCCTTTTAATTATAATGTCCACTGTGGTCAAAGCACCCTATAATAATTATTATTTACTCTCTAACAGCAGATGATCTTACTCATCAAGGGCAATTTGTACCTTGATGAGTAATACGCATACAAAATACTAAACTGTTTCATTACATATTTTATGTCTGAACCTTTGACATTGCAACAAAATAGGTTTGGGTGGGGTAAAAAATTTTTCTGGCATTCCACCGGTGGGGTAGCTAGAAATTTTGTTTCGAAAAAGTTGGGTAATGATTTTTTCCGGCTTCATTATACTTTCTCTTCGGCCCCCACCCCTGCCATAAATAATGACCGGTCCCTTACCTTAACACCTTCTTCCCAGCTTATCCAAAGACACCCTCTGGTAAGAAAATATGCCAAGGATTGCCTTGCTTCATAAGTAATCCAACCTTCTTGTTTTAGTTTAGCAATATTAGCATCGATCCAAGGAAAGCCTGTTTTGCCCTATAAGAAGTAAAGGTCGTCAGCCGAATAATAATACACTGTATACAGTAGGTACCTTGAAATGCAGGCTCTCTATATACAAGACGTGAATGTCTGTGGATTACAAAACTATGAAGACGTCTAAAACTTTCATGGTACTTTAAGTTATTCCTTTCTTTTCTATAATAGTATGAAAATCATTGTAATATACAGGGGGTGGACATTAAAAAGTGCCCCCCCCCCCCATAAAATATGGTATATCCTGTTCTTACTTGTTTAGTATATATAGTAACTGTGTGAATAAAAATTGTAATTTCAAGTCAAGGATTAGAAAAATAGACAAGTTTAGAGAGTTTTTACTCAGAATTGAAAATGAATTTCTGATTCAAATCCGCCATCTTGAATTTTGAATCTACTGTATTTTTCTAATCTTTGACTTGAAATCACAATTTTTATTCACACATACACAAAACTAAACAAGTTCAGAAACATAACTTTTGTCAGGACTTTCTTTACGTATGTCCATTGTTCACCCCCTGCATGTAAGTCGTCGTAACGTTGCCGTCCTGCTTGCTAAAGGTCCTTATTGATTTTTAAGATAACCGCAATATGAAACTAAGAAACGTAAGACTAATAATGCTTTTGATTGTTCGTCATTCCTCTTATTCTTATACAAAATATACAATGTAAAAACTGTTTGTCTACACGGCAATATAGGTAAGGTAAAGACGAGTAAAATATACAGATAAATAAAATGAAGATGAAGTAAAATATTTCCGCCCGAACATCGCCACTAGACCATGAGCGTTAATTCTCAGATTAATAAATATAAAAAAAGAAACATTCAAAAAAATTGAAGTTGATGTATATAATACTACATTTACAATTACAAAACATCAAACATTTTGATGACCAAGAGCATATATATGATTGTATTTATACTCTAAATATCTGCATGGGTGTTCCTATAACACCAATGGTGTAAATCATGGCAGCTTGTAGCCTGACACGCGTAAAAATCATGAGCCTGCTGTTTAACAGGATTGAACAATGTTTTGCTGCCCACGTTGTTCACACTTGTCAACAACATTGAACAATATTGTTGAGCCTGAATCAGGTGTAACAACATTGTTCAATATTATGTTTGTGATGTTCCTCTGAGTGTATATCCACACCGTACAAGCTTGAAAAATATGCCTGCCACGTACGGTGTGGATATACACTCAGAGTAACATCACAAACATCATATTCACCTGAGAACATTACACCGACACAGAAAAAACTCATTGTTCGATATTGTTAACAACTGTGAACAATGTGGGCAGCACAACATTGTTCAATCCTGTTTACATCAATATTGCAACAACCTGATCGTTTTTAGCTGTGTACCGATTTTATAGTGTAAATATTAATACCATTTTTTTGTTAGTGAACACCAAATACACTCATCAATCGTGATATTTACACACAATAAGTGTTAGGTGTTTCAATACACTTATTGGGGTGTAAATTTGGTGTTCACTGACACAAAAATTGTGTTAACATTTGTATACTTAATCATTGTCTACAAAGCTGCAATAATTTACATCATTTTGGCAACACCGAGACATTTAGAGCATGTACACTGCGTATTACATAGTACATACCTGTCTAAATTGTTTCAAATATTCACTGTTTTCCTCCCAAGGAATATCCAAGCATACAGGATTCCCATTTATCCTATCCCAGTTTCGGATACGACTTGCCAACATAATGAAAAAATCTCTAGTTTCCAGGCCTTTGAGGAAACCAGAAATTACGTCCCTCTATAAAGAAATAACGAAATTTGACATTATTTGTCAAGCAATAGTTTAGTTTTCTCAAATTTCATTGGAGAGCAAAAGAAAAGACTCGTGCAACGACGAAAGCAAAGAAAATACCTTTAAAATTACGAAAAAGCATTCAGCACAAGCAGACCTCCTAAGCTTTTTATTTTAGCTGTGATAATAATTTCAACAGTAATCGACTAGTCGACGAAAAATATAATGAATAAAAGACAGCAAGATATGCGTTACCTTGCTAATGTAGCGTTGAACTTCATGACATACATATCTTACAGAAAGACAGCCAAATTTAAAGTATGGACTCAATCTGCTCGACTCCCTTGGTGATTGACTCTTCTTCCCTTCATCATATCTTGTGATCTTAAATTTGCAATACAATAGATGAAGAAATTACTCAATTCTGATTGGCTAAGAGCAGTGCAATTATTTTTGAAACTAAACACTATGCAATTAACAAAACAAAACAGTTTGCTAACAAGCAATGAAAACAATGCTTTAACAGCGTGGGTCGGTCGGTGAGTGCGCAGGTGTGTTATCGAAGCGTGTAATTTTTTCATATGTGTATTATTAATAAGTAATAGTATGGTTTCTCGCGCATTTTGAAAAAAAAACATACACTCCAGAGTTTTTCAAAGAAGTCAAATTTTACTCATCCTTCAGACTCGTGCAATTTTGATAATCTTTGAAAAACTCACTCGTGCATGTTTCTTGGCGTCTACTGGAACAGTAGTCGCCATATGCCGTCGACAACAGGTTTAGTTATAGCGTCGACAACAGGTTTAGTTATATTATATATATTATATATATATATATATATATATAAAATATATATAAAATATATATAAAATATATATATATATATATATATATATATATATATATATATATATATATATAAAATAGGTACGCTGTAGCGTACATGGCGTCTACTGATCAAAAACAAAGAATGTCAATGCCGTCCGGTTTATATTTACATTTCCGACTTTCGAGTGGGGAAGATTAAAATATCTCGGCAAGTATTTACCCGCCCTTTAAAACGAAAACCACCGTTGAAATCCTCATAAAATAATCTTTCGAATGGTGGGTCAAAAAAGTAAGATTTAATATAGTTCTAGCTTTCGACTATGTTTTAGTCATCAAGGATTCCTGATGATGACTAAAACATAGTCGAAAGCTAGAACTGTATTAAAAGTATGTTCCTATTCGGAGTTAGCGTTGACTTCAATGATTTAGATTATTGCACTTCACTTGGTGGAATTAATATTAGAATGTTAGGGATTGTAATCCAAGTGGAATATATACATTTTAAGACCTAACCAGGAACGACTGCGAAAAATGCAGCACAAGGTCCTCTGGTAGGAATTGAACCTACGGCCCTCTGGTAGGGATTGAACCTATGGCCCCGCGTTGTTTTTGTATTTTGTAAAAATACTCAAGTGGTTCCCGTAATTTCAATACAACTAAATTTCCTTTTAAAATGCATATACGTTTAAATTATTATTAATTTAGTTACTGCATGTTTTGCAAATCAGAAATATGGCGAACCAACAAGTGTTTTCCACATAATTGCATAAACACTATTTTTCACTCAAACCGCGTCGAAAGCTACTGACTGGTATAGCCGAAAACTTGTAATTAAATATGAAATTATTTGGTCAGAGAGCGTCTGTTTTCTAATATGTTTCATCCTCTACTTTTTCTACTATTTTCTACTACCAACCTCTTCCACAAAGTTTTTAAAATGTCCTAGTCCTTCATCTTCTCCTCCATTCATCAACGATGTCGTGGAAATATTAGACATATCAACGAATTCCAGATCTTCCAGTGTAGGTATTCCAAAGTTGGCTTCCAACCAATCAGAGTTAGGCGTTGCACAATTCGCAAAATGTCGTGCTTCTACACATTCTACAGGAGGTAGTGGTTGGCCAAGAGACGAAAAAACATGTTGAAATTCTTCCAAGTTGATAGGAACGTTACCTCCATTGCCCTCAATGTATCTAATGTAAAACACAGATTAGTGTAGTCAGATGATCTACAATCGCGGACATAATTTGATATATTAATAATGAAATATTAATTGGTGTGACAGTTGCGATTCCTGTGACAGTTGCGATTCCTTTATCTTACCTACAGTAAAATATCCCCCCAGGACAATGTTACTGAAATACGTTTAAAATGTAAAGAGAAAATCCTTGAATGAATTTACAAACGATCTACGCAGTTATTACAAATCGGCATCAGAAAATACTTTCGACGTTGAAGATCCACGAACATTTAAATCTATATATGTTTGTCTTGTAATAGTCTGTCCAGTTCAAAGTTGTGTTGTTTTTAGTTAATTTAGTGAACTGTCTTGAGTAATATTACTTCGTATTGTAATAAGAATTATGTAAAGGGCCGCTATAATTGGCGAAAGCTGTTGCGTGTTCCCTGCCATGTTTTGTAAATGTAAAAAAAATGAAAAATGTAAATATAGTGTGATAGCAACATTGGGTGGGGAGGGGGAACAAAAAGATAATGAAATTAGTTGAATACATTTTCCTAAAATTTCGATACTCTTGTTCACGATTGTAGATGTTGTTCGTGGTTAAAACAGTAATCTTGTTTGCCATGAAATCCTGCGAAACCGAGCCGAGAATAGGAATATACAAAAAATACAATTATTTGCATGAGCAAATTATTACATTAATCGTACTCCAGTATAGGAGTGGGGCTTGGGAATCAATATGAGCAAAAATATTCAAAATGGCGGCTCAACAGGACGGTTAATTTTGTTTACAATCTCACGAGGTTTATCAAATAAAACTTGAAATTAATATTTGAAAATGAACGCAGTACAACAATTTACACAGTATAGGTACAGTAGAAAAGTAATTGAAAGAAAGAGATTTAAAGAGGACTGTGTTGCATGATCACAATTTAAACTGCGTTATGCATGCACGAAGAAATGTTTCGAGAAACTTCGACAGACCGCAACGGGTGCATGACCACGGATAAAATCATTACAGAATTTTTTACATTGGCGCCAACTCAAATGGGGTATGACAAACATGATAACTGTCAAGAAGAAATTTCATGAACACTATGTCTGTTGAATACAAATTTTGGCAAGCATTTTTAATACTAGTACGAAGAACACATGCTAAGGGAGAAGTCCCACGAGAAATTGTTTGTATCGACTTGCAGCAGGCGTTGAAGATAATACAAACAATAAATGCTAATAATGAATTAAGTCCCGTGCTACTACGCATACTGCGCGTGGTAACAATTTTTTATGGTTAATAGTAACTAAAGTCAACAGTAATTTGAAATAATTTGTAACAAAATCCAGTCTTACATGTTTCTGTGTTTGCTCTGTGTACGCCTTATATTCCTGTTAGTTTGTATTTTAATATCCAAAAATATAGACAGACAGTCAGCAAATCTTTGAAACGCCATTCGTAAGGTTAATCCTTACGTTAATCCCTACAGGGTGTATAAAAAAAAACTGAACAGATTTTAAATTGCTCTCAATTTCGCAAATCACCTATTTGTATCCGGTTTTTTATATATATAGCTTCTTTGGCTACTTATAATGTAGAATAATGAAAAAAATTTCTCGAACTCAAATTTTGTGAACCAGGGGTGTTTGGTCTTGGTCTTGGAACCTCGCTCTCATTAGTAAATTACGCAATGTGATTGGCTCACGATTCATGAGAGCGAGGCTCCCAGGCCAAATGACGTAATTATAATCGAAAGGGTGTATTAAACTAAAGTATGCGCCTGGCACATCACTGCATATATTAATGTTGTTCTTTTCACTCTTCGAATATACCAGTTTTGTAAAAACATTATCTGGCCGAAATTTGATGTAAATTCCAAGCAGGTAGAACTCCGGCCTTGGTGTTCATAATATGGTGAGCTGCTATTTTTTTGCTGAACAGCGTTTATGTTCTTCATAATATATCCAGGACAAGATTACGAACAGGTATTGAAAGCGAACAAGTTGACAACATTGGAACAACGAAGAAAAGACCACTGTTTCAAGTTAATATCAGATATGACCGAAGAAGATCATAAGCTTAATCATTTGCTTCCTCCAAAAAGATCTGAGGTAACGGATAGAAACACTAGAGGGAACAAAATTGTTTATACAACTTTTTTAGTAGAACTAATAGATTTAAAAATAGCCCGCTTTTACATGCTATTAAGTACTATTTAAAGCACACGTAGAGGAGTGTTTTATCAGATATACGTAGGAGTGTTTTATCAGATATGTGCTTTAAATGGCTTAAAAAACAACTCATCTTATATGAGTTCATTGGCGAAGTAATTTTTAAAATAAACTTTGTCTAAACCGAGAAAATCAAAGCTAAAGTTTATGTAAATTAACATGATTTTTTATCACATAATAAAGATACGACACGCTTATGATTTTTCTTTGTGTTTTCCTCCTGAATTATTATTGAGTTTTTTAACATTTTTAATACTATGAACAACAATTAGGATAGTAAATAATTGTAATTAAATTTTTTAATATTGTTGTAAACTACATAGTAATTTAACTTATGTTATTGTATGTAGTTATAAATCCAGTAATGATAATAATTATAATAATAATTCTGCATTCGATAGCGTTCTTCCTGCAGTTTCACCTATAAAATAGCTAGCAGCAGTGACCAGTAGGCTACAAGCATTTGCATTATATTTTCATTTCTTGTATAAATGGAAATTTGATATCTTTCTATGTTTTAAACATTCTGGATTCGTTTGTGATTAAGTAGAGTTGTTATGTGTTACAGTAACTGGTTATTTAAAATCACCAAAACACATTAAAATAGCCCCCAAAATGCTAAAAATGGCACTTTACCGACTCTAGAATTTAAAAATTTTCCCTATTATCCCCCCAGACCCCCTAAAAGTTCATTGTACTATATTATGCATGGTTACATCAGTGGGAGTCCATTATACCCATGATTTCATTTGTTCATACTCCTAGGAAGCACTGAATATAGTCATGTTTAATGTTATTGTTGTGTCTATAGAGTTTAGGAGGACCAGATTGGAAAAAAGTTGTAACTTTATCTGTTTATATCCTCAATAAATAAAGTGTTATTATTATTATTATTATTAAATATATACATTTTCACACAATAAAGGCACAGGGCCCCTCCTGGAATATTTTTGGCCATCCCTTGACCAGAAATCCTGGCCATGTTATTCTGTAGACTGCTCCTAATTGACAATTCTTTGGTGTTCAAGGGTCTTTCACTTTAGTTAACATGTCCCATAAAGTTGTTGAATGTTTATGTGCCACCGAGATGTTATAGGCCAGGGTTTTAAAATTCTCTCAACTCTTTCTGACGTTCCTTTGACGTACGGAATAGTGGCAATGACTTTTTGTCTTCATTTATACTGGATATCTCCATTGTTGGTCTGCTTGATCGCTTGATTACGTTGTGCACACATTTATTTGGGGTAGTATATAAAACAACCCTTGTAATTCAGCTTCATTTGAACTACATATTGTGAATAAATTGTGTGAGACTGGATGGTATGATGAGTCATCAGTACTGGGAGGTTTTCTCTGTGATTTCCTGTACACTCTTCTTTGAAGGGTGTTGCCTATTCTGGTTGTTAAACAGGCCAGGAATCAGTGGCGTAGCCAGGGTTTACAAAGTGGGGTGGACAAGAGTGCCAAAGGCGCGAACAATCTAGGGGGGTCTAGGTGCATGCTCCCCCAGAAAAATTTTGAAATTCAGAGCCTATGAAACACCATTTCATGCATTTTGGGGTGAGATTTTACAAAATTCAGAAGATTATATCATCAGATACCCATTTCTAACGTCAACCCTGAAGACTATTTAGAATCAACTGAGCAGAGATTTTCCATTAGACCTCCTACGGTTGATATGGTTTATATTCTGTTGAGTAAAATTAGCGAACGAAAAGCTCCAGGTCTCGACAACATTCCTAATAAGCTGTTAAAAATAGCAGCTGCAATAATCTCACCATCATTAACTGATATATTTGCCAGATCAATTAACACTGGCATATTTCCATCCGAGTGGAAAATGGCTAGAGTAACACCAATATTTAAGAAAGGAAAAAGGAATGATCCGAATAACTATCGACCAATATCAGTTATTTCAGCTGTAGCCAAAATCTTCGAAAAATTAATCTTTGAGCAACTTTATAATTACTTCAGTTCTAACAGCTTGTTAACGCATTGCCAGTCCGGTTTCAGGTCGTTACATAGTACACTTACTGCTCTTCTTGAAGCCACTAGTAACTGGTCAGTTAATATTGACAATGGCCTCTTCAATGGAGTAATATTTATCGACCTTAAAAAAGCATTCGATACTATTGATCATCAGATATTGCTGCGGAAGCTTCGAATTTACGGTATGGATCAATTAAGTCTCGAATGGTTTCAATCTTATTTGACCGGTCGATCTCAGAAATGTAATGTTAGAGGTTGCTTGTCATCATCTGCATCAGTTACACGTGGTGTACCACAGGGAAGTAACTTAGGACCATTACTCTTCCTTGTGTATATTAACGACCTTCCTAATTGTCTCAGTGCAGCAGTACCGAGAATGTTTGCTGATGATACGAACATTAGTTATGCGGCCAACACTATCGCTGAACTAGAAAATGTTATTAATTCGGAATTAAAAAAATTGAAAAGCTGGTTGGAAGCGAACAAATTAAGCCTTAATATCGCCAAGACAGAATTTATGATAATAGGATCTCGACAACGTATGCATGCGCACACTAACGAAAATATCAATATTGACCTGGATGGTCGTGTGATTAAACAAGTTGATGAGGCAAAATCACTAGGTGTAATTATTGATAAAAATCTGTCTTGGTCTAAACACATTGATATGAAGTGTAAAAAGATTTCTTCCGCTATAGGTGCTCTTAAGCGAATAAAACCATTTATATCAACTGAAACAGCAATCCAAATTTACAACGCTATAATTCAACCTCACTTTGATTACTGTAGTCCCATTTGGGACGAATTTGGCGCAACATTATGTGAAAAAATGCAAAAATTGCAGAATAGAGCTGCTAGAGTGATTACGAAATCCAACTACGATGTCAGCTCTAGCATTCTCTTAGAGAAACTGCATTGGGACAATCTTTCCTTACGTAGGAAAAAGCACAAGTCTATACTAATGTTTAAAACTATCAATAAGCTAACGCCAGAGTATTTACAAAACATGTTTACATTTCGCAGCACAGATTATAACTTAAGAAATGCAGAAATGAAGCTAAATTTACCAAAACCACGTACGGACTTTATGAAGCGTAGTTTCTGCTACAGTGGAGCAAGTTTATGGAATGCGCTTCCTCAAACTGCACGTACGTCCAAATCATTGAGGCATTTCAAAAATGAAATTAATCAATTCTTGACATTATAATGGGATCCCCACACGGCAATCTTGGAAAACAGTGCATTTTAGTTAGGAAATTAGTGTGTATATAGTGATGTGTGAAATTTATTAATAGTTTTTGTATTTTATTCTACACTGAAGATTTTACCGTGTTTAAATAAATGTTCAATGTTCAATGTTCAATGTTCAATAAAATACACAAAAAATAGTACATTTTAAGACTTTGAAGTTCAAATTTTAAAGTGAGATTTTACAGGATTCAGAAAATCATAACATTATATAAAATACACGAAAAATAATACATTTTACGACTTTGAACTATGCAATTTTCCTAATGTCTTTTCTTAGAACTGTCTATCTATTTACAATGGTAGCTTTCTGTTTTTAGCTAAAAATCGGATCAGTGTTACCCACCCCCCCCCCAGTTTCTCAACAGATTTAAACATATCTCAAAGGTGGTTCTGAAGGAGAGTGGGGGGGACTTGTCCCCCCCCCCCCCCAGTGGCTACGCCACTGCCGGGAATGCTATCTTTCCGAACCGAAATGTTAGACAAAATAAAAGATTTTGTATATAGATAATCGAGAAGAACAATAGTACTAAACCAGACACAGTACTGGTTGCGGTGCCCCGCCCGTGCCCGCCTACAAATAAAATTTCCAGCGTTTCCGCCTATATAGCCTACATTCTCCTGTTGGTCGCTAGCTGGTTCATATGTTAGGATCAAAACTGCATTTTAAAGCCTTCAAAATAAAATTTCTTGGGGCTCAAAATACTACCAAAATGAGGAGAAAAGTGAGACGAATATACTGGATGACGGCCGAAAACTAACGATACCGAAGTTATGAATGATCAAATGGACTGCATTTTTAATTAGTTTAATAATTTTGAGCGATTTGTCAACAATACAATTTCGCTTGACTTTCAAAGGCCATAAATCGCTAGAATACTGTTGTTTAGTAATACATCTGACATCCGTAAGTACAATTTCTTACGCTGAATTAACTTAATTGAACAATGGTATTTTTGTCCTTATTGGGCACAAAAAAACAGAGATAAGAAAGAGTCCAAGATTAATTGGAAAGAAAACTTTCCTTGAAAAAAGGAATTCAGAAAACATGAAAGGATTATTTTGAGCGGCTTGTCTTTCAAAAGCCATGAATCGCTGGAAAAGAAATCAATTTTGAAATCAATTTCTCATCCATAAATACAAGGTTTACGCTGATTCGAACAGTGGTATTTTTGTCCTTGTTTGGCGCATAAAACCAGAGATAAAGCCCAGCAAACAGTTGGTCCTGAGATTCCAAGATTAATTAATTTTCCCGCAAAAATTTTGAGCACATGCAAGGAATTTTGACTAGGCGATTGGGGAAACATATTGATGTGAACAAACTAACAAACGGACAAACAAACTAACAAACTCAAAGGCAGAATATAATGTGGTGCCAAACTAGAAATATGAATCCAAACAAATGCCCTGGTTATATTCAACCCTTCAAGGAGAATATAATTCATAACAAATGAAAAATTGGAGGCTTGTAAAAATTTGTGTACTATAGTAAATGGAGTCAGGGAGACGATTTTGTCATCTAATTAACCTCCTTTCAAAACAAGTCAAGGTGTTGTTTCGTAGATATATGGCTCCAGCTCCATCTTTTGGAAGAATATGTCTCTACCATGAGTGAACAAAATTCTCCCTTTCGTTCAAGAGAATGTAGCAGATCAGCTTTGCAGAAAATATTTTTACCATTGCACTCATAAACGTTCATCACTTGTATAATTATATTGCATAATTACAATAAAACTGGGCTTTAATAGGTGAGACTTCAGAAGCAGCTAAATACCAGTATAGAATTTCTTGCACTATTACTGTCGTTCCAATTGAAGTGTTCCTCAAATATTGATTCAATACATTACCTTGGGCTGACCAATTCATTTGATCAAGTTCCTCGAAATATTCATACACTTCCTAGTATAATTGTAAACTTCCTGTTGAATAGTTTGAATGCACCAATCACCTTTGTTGTTTGTGCAACTAACCAATCATAAATAGAAAGGAAGTGACCAGAAATGATCAAATACTTGGAATTGGCTCTTTCACAGGAAGTGTATGAATATCTCGAGGAACTTGATGAAATGAATTGGTCAGCCTGAGGTAATGTATTGAATCAATATTTGAGGAACACTTCAATTGGAACGACAGTAAATTAAGGTCAGACAGTTCAATTGAGCAAAATGTATTTATAAACACTGAAACGTTTGCCCTGACAAGCTGAAAATTCTTATGAATGGGCATTTAACCATCAAGTAAGTTATACTTTGTTGCCAAACAAGACATTTATGAAGGCAAAATATATTATACTTAAGCTCCACCCCCTTTTAAATGCCCACATTTTCTCCACACATCGTATATGTTGTGAAACCAAATATTTACGCCAATGAATGTTGTGACGTATTGACAAAGTTTTGAAGGAATCGTAAGAAATGTTTGAGGGGACTGACTCAGTTAAACAATGAGTCACTTCCCTCCAAAATTTCTTACAAATCCTTCAAAACTTTCCTACTGTGATCTACTGGTAGTGTATTAAAACACCAGTGTATTAAAACCAGCCTTTAGGCCAATGGAAATTGATATCATGTTTCTCGTCCACAATTTTCAAAAATTTGGAGTGGGATTTTTTCATTTTTATTTTTTCATTATTTTTTTTATTTGGAGCTGCTGCAGCGTCAGCCGCAAGCTTGACATTTATTAATTTAAACTACCATACATTACAAATGCTCGCTTAATAATTACCCTAACAGGTACATATATATCCAATCCAACGCCGTTCTGTACTAATAAACATAAAAGGGCTGGGTGGGCGGGATACTGTCAAGCTACGGTGAGCAACAACAAAAATATGCTCATATAACCTGCACCACCCTGTAACACCCTGATTTCATCAGGCCCCCAGCAGTGTGTGAGAAAACATTTTCCGCTTCTTTCGTGCCTCAGCCAGCGGAAAATAACACTTGTCAATGGGCCGATTACATGGAGAACTTTCAACCCCGGGGTTGAACTCAGCCCTGCTAACCGGGTTGAATTTTTTTGCTATTACATGGACGATTTCAACCCCGGGGTTGAAACGCTGTAGTATACGTTCTCGGCATCGATTCCTGGAAGTAAAAAAGCCTTCGTTTTGTTTTCTTGTAATAAATAGTCACTACCACGCATGCTCGAATAACTCATGATAATTTCAACCCTGGGTTGAAACGATTACATGACAAAATTTTCAACCCAGGGCTGAGTTCAACCCTGCTAGCTGAAATTTCAACCCCGGGGTTGAACTCAGCCCTGGGTTGAAAATTTTGTCATGTAATCGTGCGCTTGATTTTGATAGAGTGGTATTACAGACAGGGCTGAATTTTCAACCTGGTAAACAGGGCTGAGTTCAACCCCGGGGTTGAAAATCCTCCATGTAATCAGCCCCTAAAAAACCCCATAAAAATCTGAAGTAAATCGGTGTATAATTCATTTTAATTTTTAAAATACGTCCTACACTACAGTATATTTCTATACATACCAGGGCTGATATGAAAAATAGAGGCATTCTGGCAAGTAATATCTTTAGAAAGATACAATTTGAGTTGCGCTTGCGGAATGCAGCAATAAGACTTTGATCTGGAGATCAGTTTGGTGTTTTGTTAAGCCTATTTTTCAAAAATAATGAATAATGAAAAATTTTCGTGCGGCAGATACAGAGCTTGAAATGTCCCTTGTTGACAGCCAACTCTCATTCGATTTAAATTTCATTCTCAAATTATAAAAATCTATTGCTTTTCCAAAAATCTTTGTCATGTACGCAAAACTGGCGTACATGTAAAAGCACATCGAATATATTCCACGTAAATATTTCGCCTAACATTGCTACAAAGACCGGCTGTTTGTACTAGATTAATTAAGGAACTGTGGCTTTCTATTATTTATTTATAACTGCAAATCTTACCGTTCAATTTCAAACAATGTGTGTGATGTCTGAGTGATAACCTCGACATTTGCAATGCTTGCAAGAGAGAACACGACATCTTCTCTTCCTTTCGAGTAAAGATCACAAGCAGTGTTAAACGTTAACCGAGATACTTTCCACTTCTCAAATAACGTTGGGAGAACACGCAGTGGCGATCCTTGTACAACAAACAAGCGAGAGTTAAAATTTCGCAGCTTATCATTAAGTTCGTTCAGACACTGAAGTATGAACCTCCATATTGTGGAACTAGAATTTGTCTTCAGATGCAACCAAGCTTCTGTATCGAGTATGTACACTCCATAAAAGTTCTCGCAATTCTCCAAACATTTTAGCAAGGCAGGATTGTCATGTAACCTCAAGTCTTTTCGAAACCAATGAAGATGATTTCGCTCCAAATCTGGGACATCTGTTTCCATATTCTTGTAGGTCGTATTTTTAACAACAGTCACAAAAACACTCGCGACGTTAATACTCCGTTTAATACTATGTCGAACAGCTGCATAATAACTTTTGGTAATTGTTTTATATCGGATTCACCTCGCGGAAAAGGTGACTACAGAACGTGACAGGCTGCGTGGAACGCCGGAAGTACGTAAAGTATTGCTGGGGGTGAGGTGGGGGAATATGGCGTCATATTACCGCTGATATTCATACATTGAACTTGTTAGTTGCTGGGGCACTGTGCCAGCAACTATAGGTAGGGATGGGCGATACCAGGATTTTTAATTCGATACCGATACCGATACTTTTAAGATCGGTATCGGCCGATACCGATACCTATTTCGATACCAAAATGAACACAAAATTTCAATTTTCGATACCGGAAGTGAGTACTTCAATTCCTAGTATTGCTACTTTCGATACCTGCCTGTCAGCGGAAAGGCATTTTACATTCCTGTATGCGACCTCCCCCCCCGGAAAGGCATTTTACATTCCTGTATGCGACATCCCCCCCCCCCTCCCCGTCGTCGCCAAAAAAATTTCGGTCAGTGTACCATTTTAGGGTTTAAAAATTTTTTCCGGCCATACCCAAATTTTTCCGGACATCGGCAAATTTTCCCCATTTTTTTTCTTCTAAAATCCAAAAATTTTCCATAATTTCCTTAAATTTTTGTCAATTAACCGCATTTTTTCCAAATTCACACTTATTTTTGTAATAAAGTCTTACTCAACCAAGAAGTGAAATTAAAGAAGTCATTTCATTAAAAAAGGGTGCAAGTATCGAACGATACCACGTCAGTAATCGATACCGATACCGCTGTTTGTGGTATCGCTGGTATCGAATACCGAGTACTCGGTATCGCCCATCACTAACTATAGGTTTCGGGTGAAATTGGTCTCCTTCTCCTTCTCCATGGATAGTCGCAAAATGGAAATTCCCACTGATCTATATACGAAACAATACGTGCATACATTTTCGCTATTTTAACGGTCTTAAAGCCTTCGTAAGTGTATAAAGTGAACGTCAAATTGTTCTTTCAATCACACTTTTTCTTCTGGGGGCTTTTTGAAAGAAATCCATCAAGAATATACAAAATTATGTCGACGTTTCACTATCGAGGAGTGGAGTATGGGTCATTCCATTTATTATCCGCACCCCCCCTATGGATGAGCGGATTCCTACCAGTCAGATATTCGGACTTAGGGGATTCCTACTGGTCAGATATTGGGAATTAACAGATTCCTTTGGCCCGATTCCTACCGGTCAGATATTGCCGTCAAGGTGTAGCATACTATATTGCCAAATATTTATTATGAGAATCATAATAATTTCATTTATTATTCTCACCCCCCCCCCCGGTCTGACATTGGGAATTAGCAGATTCCTACCGGTGAGATATTGGCAATTAGCAGATTCCTACCAGTGAGATATTGGCAATTAGCAGCATTCCTAGGGTTTAGATTGATACTGTCGATTCCAACAGGGTACTTCTCTGAAATCTGATTCCTACAGGTAACATTTTTACCAGAGCTCATCCATAGGGGGGGTGCGGATAATAAATGGAATGACCCTATATTCCGAGGTGGATTAACTGACAATATTAAACTGTGTTATTTATTCGTCGTACCATTATTTCTGAACGTTTATATTTTTGTTTTGTGAAGTTTTACATCTATATACGCTTTAATATGGCTTATAGTCTTGGTTGCTCCAATAGTCTGCATAAAAATCGTATTTGTTTACATGTATTGGAACTGTCATATTTGCATGCTAGCTCTATTTTCAAGAAGGCTCAAATGTTGGCTGTTTTGAAGTGACACACGAGGTACGTGACACACAATCTTGGATTGGTATTCCTTAGATAGATAGATGTTTTTAATTGATAAACCTTGCAGCCATTGGCTGTATTATGTTAACATTACATAAGGTCCACTTATTATTCTGGTTATAGGACTGAACTATTAGCTTAAAACTCCCATGTTCTTGTTGTAAACTGCATCATGTATTCATGATTTTTACTTGTAACTTATTTGCTTATTTAATAGATTGCAAACAGAGGGGTCCCCTTGTTAAAAATTTAATGTCAACTTGGGAAGATTAACCTCGCAATATTTTTGCAGATTGCAAAATTTATAATCTATCAGTAATCTGTACCTTACTATGATCTAACCATTTGATGATATTTATGTGGCTCTAACATGTAATAGCTTCAATATTTTGGAGTGTATTATTTGATGTTAATTAAGCCCTTTAGTTAAAAATCACCAATTGAAGAATTGCTAGAACCAAAAGCGAATACTGGAACTATTTATATTATTTACCATGTTGCACCCTCAATGCCTGGTTACCCCACGTCTTGTCACCCCCCCTCTTTGAGGGCCCTCTTTGTTAGCGATTCAGTTCTACACCACTGACTGCTAATATAAAGTTATGTAAAATTTTAATGCCAATAGCTCAGGGAGTGCAGTGCTGTGGGAAGCTCTTTTTGATTGGGGAACTGAAAGCAATGGCCAAAGGCCCGAGGAAATTTTTTAATTTAGTTTTCAAACAGCACCCCCCCCCCTGGTTGCTACGGCCCTGAGGTGAAATATAACCACTGTCTATCGCATGCATCAGTTAGGTGCAAAAAGCTAAATTCTGCACCAATAATCAATATATGCGCCCTAATCAATATAACCCTTTAAGTGGCAATGTACCCTCATGTGACCTACTTTACTATTTTACTGTGTCTAATGCCAAGGATTTTACTCATCAGGGAGAGAGTGCTGTCACTCAATGGGTTAATTCACAAACGACTCCTTAGTCCTTAACTGTCTGATAAACAATTTTTGTGTTTTAAAATTTGTTATAAACAAGTTAAAATAAAAATATACAAATCTGTAATTATCCTCAAATATGAATAAGGGGTTATTATAGCCCAAGTATGAACACTTGTGCCACAGTGCCAGCACAAAATGGGCTATTCCAGCTTTCAATTCTGCTGGAATGAGGTGATAAATTTTTAGCTTTGGAATTCCTCAGGGATAAGCAAATATTTTCTGTGTGGAATTCTTTGGGGGTAATCTGGTAATGGATATTTTGAATGAGATTTTCTCAGGGGTCAAATGTAAAAATTGAAATTCTTCCAGGGTCTCTTTTCATGGGTATTAACAGTAATTCTTTAGTGGATCTCTTTTATGACCTGTAGGAATTCTTCAGTTCAGCGATATGATGAACTCTTGTGCAACGGACCTGATTGTGAGATTCCACTTCATTGAAAGGACGACCTTAGGGACGGACCGTTAGAAAACTGATGGGGGGGGGGACCAAAAAAGAATTTATTCCCAGGAAAAAATTAGAGGAAAAAATCTTCCCAGGCAGAGTGCCAAAAAAATTCCTTTCTTGGAAGATAGGCCTATAAATTTTAATAAAAAAATATATTTCCAGCCATCAAGTGAGAAAAAAAAATTTCTTCTATAAGTGTACAAAAAAAATATTGCCTCTTAGAAAATCCCCCCCCTGATCACTTTTCTAATGGTCCATCCCTTAGTTAATTAAATTTGCTGTATACATTATGTTGCAACGTGTCACTATTTAATAAACTTATGTACAATTACAAATCAAGCCCACAAATCGTTGAATATACTCTTACCGCTCGTTGCAAACCACGCAGGCGCCTATTTAAAAAACCCCAGCAACTTAACGCTCGAGAGAGCGTCTTGTTCATTATTATTTTCGACATTGAAGTTAAATCAACATCCCAATTTTTCAGCAATCATGAGTATTTAAAGCTTCGAAAAATGTTGAAAAAAAATCAACACACGAATACGAGAAGTTGAATATTGGCGGCGACTGAGAACATTGCGTGAAATATCCGCCAATATTAATGAGCATAATTCAAATCACCCTGCGCATGGATTGTAATGCGGGAAATATATACAAGGTTCTGGCGGTACCTGATGGAGTCTTTTTGTGGCGCAAAGAATCGCTCACGCGCTATTAATGTTTGTTTATCGCATAAAAACATAATAATCCATTTGTAAAGTTTGCATATTATCGTAATTTATAGTAAGCATTTGTGTCAAATTTGGAAATTTGGATTGTTACAGTAATAAAAACAACAGCATGCGCAGGGCCATTCCAAGAACATTCACAGTTAATTGTGAAACGTTTTCATGTTGAAAGTTTCGTTTGAATACGGCGAGTAGAATTGTTTATTTTGAATTTTTCAAAATATCGGCTTTTTACCAGTAAAGCTCAGTAGTTTTTACTCGCACGCGCGTGCCACCGTAGGCCGTAGCCCGATGTACGTCCAAATCGCATTACAATAGTAATTTGACCCTTTTTTTCTGGAATTGATAAAGGTCGAATTACCATTGTAGTGTGATTTCGGCACGTGCATCCACAGGGGGCCACGTGTGAATAGAGCCTGGGTCTCTTGTGGATGCACGTGCTGAAATCGCACTGCAGTGGTTATTCAACCTTTATCAATTCTAGAGAAAAAGGGTCAAATTACCACTGTAATGTGATTTGCACGTGCATTGATCGTGCTACAGTGGCACGCGCGTGCGAGTAAAAAACACTGAACTTTACTGGTAAAAACGCTCAAAATAAACATTTCTACTCGCCGTATTCATACGAAACTTTAAACATGAAAGCGTTTCACAATAAAGAGTCATTATCAACCACAATGCATTTGTTTACATCTTACATTCTAACATTCGGAAGTGAAAAATAGCAACAAATGACGATTATGAACATTTCTTTGGTACACTTCAGTGCATAATTTAATATATATACATGTGAGCTGATTGACCATTGCAAGGACCATTGCTCCTTTTGCATTTATCGTTTCAATGCTTCAACAAAAATATTTACATCACACGTTTTCTTTTTCATTAACACTTGAATATGCGAAATCAAATGTATTTTATTGGCACATGCAAGAAAAGGTAGGTAGTTAATTAACGCACACTGATCTAATAGAATTAGATC